CTTGACATAATGATATTACAATTATGCAAATATGGATATAATTTGCATAATTAATGAGGAAATTCTATTAATCAGCTGCATTCCATGATAGGAAGTTCAAGCTTGCGACATATGTTATTAACAACGAGAGAAACACAGGCAGATATCAATTATGCAAATGAAGACTTAATTTGCATAATTAATGAGAAAATGTTATAATTGCATAGTGGTAACTGCCTGGAATTTTATACTTGGGGTGTTTGAAGTTTAGTGAAGGTGAACATAATTTAACATAACTTATTCAAATAAGGACCTCATTTGCATAATATATGAGGAAATGCTATAATGACATTCTTTGTTAAAATAAGACTGTTGGTGGAGATTATGATCAACAGATATAATTCATGCAATTGCGGATCCTATTTGCATAATCAGGGGGATTAATACATTGTATATAAGTTCTTATTCATAAAAGCTAACATCATTTGGCGAAGGTATGAGATCGTGGAACTCTAGTTTGTACATGATATGATCTAGAACTGCAAGGTGAAAAATACCGGGTACTCAATACTATAACCTAATATTATACTGTTTTCCTCCTTGTACCAGTTCTGGTGAAATAGGCAATTAATAGTCACTATCTTCTACTATATTGTAAATATTTCAAGACTACATATTTTTGTACGTACCTTATCATCATCATCATCATGCTGACTGCTCGCTGGTGAACTCCAGTCTTTCACAATTTTGAAAGGGCGGATGGTCGTCTGCCTCATTCTGCACAGAAGGAAAAAAAAACATGTTTACTCACATATATTTGGATCAACAAGATAAGTTGACTCAAGGACTGGTTTACAGTTGCAAAAACAACGTCTCCCGCCATTTTTAGCTGTTCGCAAAAACAAGTTACAAGTGTACCGCAAAGCCAAATACATACTCCACAAACTTTTCCGTCTTTAGATAAGGAGTTCATCTTACGCTATGCCCCTAGCAGGCCGCAGTCCTGGGCGGGGCTGCTTTCTGTCGGGCCAAAACGTGAAGACGCCGGCATCTTCGGAAACAGAAGCCGCCATTTTTCCGCTTTTTGAAGTTGACGCTTCTCGCGGCCGGAGATCTCGCGAGAGTTGGAGTCGTACCTAATTTGTATGCAGATTACTACACACTTTCTTTTTTTCAACAAAAAAAGAAGGCTTAGCGTTATCAGAATCTGACCATATTCAGACAAAAAGTCTTTGAAATAGTCCATAAACTTTTAAGATCGACGAAGGCCATATTTTTGGTGGATTACTGTCTCATTTGTACTCCTTGATCGTACCTAAATTTATGCATCCGGTTTAAGCGTGAGTAAAGTCAGAGGTCACAAATCATGCTGTAGTCACATGCTTGGTGTACAAGTTAGTTGTGACCGATTTGACCGAAAAAAAACTTGGAATTTGTACTTTGATCGTGTCCACATGGATCGATCATCGTGTTTATTGTTGTTCCTGACCATTGGAATCACGTGTGTGGCTGCACAGACGTGTGGATATAAGGTAAACACTTTCAAACTTCAGGGCGGGATGAAAAAATTATGATGCGATCATGAGTTAGTTTTATAGAGACACGTAGTTAGTTTAATACAACAAGTAAAAGTTATGAGGATAGTGGCTGTATGCTGGTAAACATAAAATCTGCAGAAGCTAGATAAAAAGATATTAATTGTGCAGTGTTGAAGACAAGTTAACACTGTGTACAGCTTAGATAAACCTTCATATATTCGTCTAACCTTCATCAACGTAACTTACACGTGTACCAGTAGCTACTCTAGTAGACATATAGTGATTATTTCAATATTTACACTTACAACTTATGTTTCATGTATTTTTTTGTAAGTGCATATTTGATAAGTAGTCTAGGTTTGCTTAGTAGTGACAAGGAGGTTTCTCTTTTTAAACCTCCTTGGTAGTGATTAGAGACATGTCATTATGTAGCAAGTGGCAAGACCTACTAGTAGTGGGGGGGGGGGGCTGAGCAGCATATTTGTGTTTGAATAAAAAAAAACAGAGCAGTAGTTTGTTGGGCTAGACCATGGGAAGGTAAACATTGTTTTTGATTTCTGCATTTGCCCTGCAATGTTACTTCTTCCCACAGAAATGTAACTCCCTGCCGATCAAACCTGGTATGATAAATGTACACCTGGTGCCACACACACATGACGACGTCGGCTGGCTCAAGACAGTGGACCAATATTACTATGGAGGTACATGTTATTCTGTATCTAATTTCAACAAACTAGTTTTACAGTCTGATAGTTTAAAGTTCTTTTGATAGGGTTTAACAGATTGTAACATTAATATTGAAAATTACATGTACCTGCACCAGACAAATTTTACCTGCACCACTTTAAGACATATGTATCATAATAAATTTGTTCTAAAACTATTACCAACTTTCTTTTGTACTTCATACAGGTGGTAACATTCAATGCAGCAAATAAAGTTAAACATATTTATAAACCCAGTACATGGACCTGGACCAGTGCAGGTTAGGTGCAGGTAGACATCACCAGTACCTGCACAGCTCCAATTTTATGAACACTAAGGTGCATATGCACCCAATTTTTATACTATAGCCCTGAAGATAGATAAAGGATCAAGGTATGCAATTAAAAAAAATACTTATTGGAATTATTTTTTCAGCAAACACCACCATCCAGAGGGCAGGTGTTCAGTACATCCTGGATGGAGTCATTCCCCAGCTGGAGGCTAACCCCAGGAGGAGGTTTATCTATGTGGAGATGGCCTTCTTCAAACGCTGGTGGGACGAACAGGATGAAGACATGCACGGAAGGGTCAAGAAGCTTGTGGACGAAGGTGTGTCATAATTTATGATATTATACTCTATTTATGTATACCTGAGTTTGTAGAATGAAAACATGTTGCTGTGCTCTGTTCCTCCTTTGTCTCCAAACAAATAATGTCAAACGCCTGGACCAAACAGCTTACACCATGGTAACACTGGAGCTGTAGCAGACAGTGCCAGACACCCTGTGGTGTTGGAATACATTATGTACGTAGCAAGTGGCAGGACAGAGTTGGGGGATGGTCACCAATTTACCATTGTTCATGCTGTTGTTAATATACTACTAGTAGTAAGCTGTGTTTCCAATTGAAAAGTTTTCTCACAACCTTCCAAAGAAAGTGATTCTTATCTTGGCCTCTCATTGGTATTTCTTTTTTTTTTTTCAACTAGTTCCTGAGTTAGAGGTTAGATATCTTAAAAGTTCCTTTCTTTCCACAGGCCGATTAGAATTCATCAATGGAGGCTGGTGTATGAATGACGAGGCGAGCACACATTACAACGCAATCATCGACCAGATGACACTCGGGCTGCAGTTCTTAAACACGACGTTTGGCGAGTGCGGGCGACCTCTCGTGGCATGGCACATTGATCCATTTGGACACTCCAGGGAACAGGCTTCAATTTTTGCCCAGGTATAGGAATTTTAGTCTCTTGCAAAATATAATGTGATAAAATAGGTACTGTGCCAATGTACTAGTATTTATTATGTTTGCCTTCACAAAAACATAACAATATTGTTTTTCTCCATTGCTTCGGATTCTTCCTAATCTTTCCATTTTAAACTAATAAGTTCAATGACCTGGACCAGACAGCTGTCACCATGGTAACTGGTCCTGTAGCAGACACCCTGTTGGATTACATTAGGGACTGTACGATATTTACCGGGGGGGAGGGCCGGTCGTCTGAGGGGGGAGGGCCTAGGAAAAAAAAATCGAGCCGGGGGGAGGGCCTAAGAAAAAATATTTTAATTTGGGGGAGGGCCTAGGTAAAAATTTTTTCCAAGATCCCTTTAACTCTACAACGTTTTTATACACTTTCAAAACATGATTAAACGTCTGTCCCATACGTATCGTAGCGATTTGCCAGTCATTGGAATCGGCAGAATTTTACGTTCCAATAATATCCATCCCTATTATTATAATGTATTCGCCCAAATCTCCCACAGTCCCCTTCAAAATCTTGCATTTTCGCCAGAATCGGTGAAACTGGACTACACAGCCAAATTACACGGATTAAAATCGCGTCAATCGCGGCAATCGAAACGATACCGATCAAAAATGTAGGGAAGGCTTGTCTGAAGATTTTGAAAATTAATTTTCGCCGTTCAACGCACCCTTCCCAGTGGTGTGCGTGCGTGCGTCGGCAAAGGTCCTGCTGGTCCCGCCTCGCAACTCGCTCGAACTTCTCGGCGTGGATGTCGGATGTCGACGGATTAATTTGGTATTTTTCTTAAACCAAGGACTATTTTAACATTTATATGACTTATATCTATGTCCCTCCAAAGTTAATTGCAAACAACACGTAACTTGACAATATTGTTTCCCTGTTTGTAATAAAATTGACGCGGAAGAAGTTCGTGGACGAAAGGTAGGCTATATAGAGGATTATTTCGATTACACTGACTGACCTTAACGTTACTCGATGTACCAGAGAAATTTGTGCTGCCAAATTTGCCCCTCAACATTCAAAACATGGGTTGAAATTCAAAATTT